GACATCATGCATCTCCTATGGTGAGACGTCAGACTCTTGGGAGTGGCTGCGTGACCCTGTATAGGGCTTTAAGATGGAGAAAAACCTGGAACTTGAAGATCATTTACCAGTTCATCTGAGTTGCAGATGTAGTCCCTTTTGCTGTCCTCCAAGCTGTTTTTTTCCCCTTCTTTTAAAGTTCAGCCATCTCTTTGAATAGTGGGGAGAGGGAGCATATGGCCTCAATACACAGATGAAGAAAAGGCTTACAGCTCACCCCCACTTTTTCTGTTGTAATTGAATTCAGAAAGCAGGTGGCTGACACTTAATCACAGAAGGAAAGGCTTTTAGAGCAATGGCAGAATTCCCTTCACTAAAAAATCTAAAACTCAAGATGTAGATGAAAATAAAACCTTGAAGGAAAATTGTTTTAGTTGGGGCTATATTAAATCTTTATTCTTTGCTACCTCTCCCTCAATCTGATTTGTTCATAATATTTTCCTCTCAGTCCACGTGACTTCAGAACATACAAATAACATGTGAAGCATCTGTTCCATCATCTGGGTACCTTGCCTACTTGATGGCAAAATTATGGAGAATATGGAAATATTTGTGTTTTATTTTATGTCATATAGATGAGATATAAGAATAAAATCATGAAGGTTGAAAGGATCTCAAAGATGATTTTAACTGCTCATGTTGTCAAAGAAGAAACTGAGACCGCTTGCCTGTATCACAGAGCAAATTTTAACAACAATAAAATTAGGATTCAGGAATCATTTTTCTGATGCCAGTCCATGTCCCTCTAAACTCTTGTTACTATTCATGATAGCCTGAGGTTTTCAGGTTTTATCCAAAAGCATGGGATCATGTAGACCAATCTTTTAGGCCACACCTTTAATCTTCTGGGATGTTTAGTAGTGTTTCACTGAGTAACCAGGTATGGTAGCTCACGTCTGTAATCCCAGCACTTTGGGAAGCAGAGGTGGGAGAATTGCTTGTGATCGGGAGTCAAGACCCATCTGGGTATCATGGTGAGAACTCATCTCTACCAAAAAAAAAAAATTCGCTAAGCATGGTGGCACACACCTGTAGTCCCAGTTACGTGGGAGGCTGAGGTGGGAGGATCACTTGAGTCCAGGAGTTTGAGGCTGCAGTGTGCTATAATTGTGCCACTGCACTCTAGCCTGGATGGTATAGCAAGATCTCATGTCTGAAAAAAAAGATTTCACTGAATGGGAAAGTATTTGTTTAGGAATAGGGAGGGATGGCTATCTGAACTGATCAGAAATGAACCAGAGAGTTCTATAGCTTTTATGTCTCTTCGGCCACATAGAGTTTAGTACTAAGCTCAGCTTGTCTGTACAGAAACCTAAAGGTGTAGTTTCACTGATTGTGGACACTTTTGTCTCACAGATCTCATATTTTTGTTTTAAGGAAGGAAAAATAGAGGTAAAAACCCAAATACAGGGATCTGTTACCTGGCCATGAACTGGGATGCTTTTTGGCTCATCTAAAATATAGTGATAACTGATGTCCATAATGTTTCATACTGTGACATGGACTACTCCCTGTTTATCAAATGTGTGTGTGTGTGAGAGAGAGAGAGAGAGAGAGAGAGAGAGAATGAATTGCTTTGTCACCCAGGCTGGAATACGGTGGTACTATCACAGCTCACTGTAACCCCAAACTCCTGGGCTCAAGCAGTCATTCTGCCTCAGCCTCCCAAGTAGCTAGGATTAACACCCAGCTAATTTATTATTATTATTTTTTATTTTATGCGTCTCACTTTGTTGTCCAAATTGGTCTCGAATGCCTAGCCCAAAGGAATCTTCCTGCCGTGGCTTCCCAAAGTGCTGGGATTACAGGTGTGAGCCACTGTACCTGGCCTCAGTTTTCTTCTACTGCTAAAGTTATGATCTCTGATATACCGTTAAGCTGTTTCTTTTCTGCACACGGTGCCATGACACTCAAGACACCATTTCATTCTTGCATTTCCCCAAAGTACTGTGGACTCAAGGTTTCTGTGTAACAAATTATCATAAAACATTGTGAGTTAAAAAACAATAAATTTTTTTTTTTTAAACCATTTATGTGGATTGGGAATTTGAGAGTAGTTTAACTGTGTGATTCTGGTTCAAGATTCCTCAAGAAGGTACGTTAAAGATATCAGCCAGGGCTACAGTTGTCTGAAGCCTTTCTTTTTTTTCTCTTGTAGAAAAATTCAGGCTTATTTTTGTTGTTTTCAGCCATATATATGATCATGCCCTGAGGACCTGACCTTTCCTTTCCCTTTCTCTTTTTCTCTTTCTCCCTGTCTCCCTCGCCCCTCTTTCTTTCAACTTTTTAAAAAGTTTTCTTTCTTTCTTTCTTTTTTTTTTTTTTTTTAGTTGGAGTCTCACTCCGTTGTCCAGACTGGAGTGCAGTGGCACGCTTCTGGCCACTGCAGCCTCCACCTGCTGGGCTCTGGTGATCCTTCCGCCTCAGTCTTCCGAGTAGCTGGAACTACAGGCTGGGATTACAGACTGAGCCACCGAGCCTGGCCTCTTTCCTTTCCTTTCCTTCCTTCCTTCCTTCCTTCCTTCCTTCCTTCCTTCCTTCCTTCCTTCCTTCCTTCCTTCCTTCCTCTCTCTCTCTTTCTTTCTTTGTTGGAGTCTCACGTTGTCACTCAGGCTGGAGTGCAGTGGCATGTTCCCAGCTACTGCATTTTCAACCTGCTGGGCTCAGACAATCCTTTAGCCTCTGTCTTCCAAGTAGTTGGAACTATAGGCACGCACCGCCATGCACGGCTAATTTTTTGATTTATTGTAGAGATGAGATCTTGCCAACTTGCCCAGGCTTTTCTTGAACCCCTGGGCTCAGGCAGTCCTCTTGCTCCCACCTCCCAAAGTTCGGGGGTTATAGGCATGAGCCACCATGCCTGCTTTGACCTTTACTCTTACTTAAAAGGACCTATAAGACTAAATGGAGTAAAGTGGAAGCTTTAAAATCCTTCATGTGAGAAGGCCTTATGAAAATGTAAATTTCTGTATTTCATATGTGCATATAATGTGCTTAATTTAAATCTTTCTGTGGTTAGAAATGAAAGAAAGTATAGCTTTTATAAAGACAAGGTTTTTATTTTAGGATTTTAATTCCTAGGGTATATTTTCTAGAAAACCATTTCTGAGAAATTACTGTTTATAAGAAAATAAAAGGTCTTACTCAGCAAAATAGCGAAAAAACCAAAACTCTTACATTGGGGGATAATTAGCAATTTTATTTTATTTTATTTGTTTAATTTATTTTATTTATTTATTTTGAGTTGGAATCTCACTCCTTCACCCAGTTTGGAGTGCAGTGGCACGCACGCTCATGGCCACCCTAGTGTTGTTGACTTTCTGGACTTACCTCAGCCTTCCAAGTAGCTGGAACTACAGATGTGCACTACCATGCCTGACTGTTTTTATTTTATTGTAGAGATGAGGTCTCGCCAAGTTGCCTGGGCTGGTCTCAAACCCGTGGGCTCAGGCAATCCACTCGCCTTGGCCTCCCAAAGTGCTGGGATTACAGGCGGAGCCACCGAGCCCGGCCTGTTTTATTTTTTAAATTAGCAATTTTAATATAGTTTTAGTTGTCGTAGGAGTATGAATGGTTTATTTTAAAGAAGACAGTAAATCTTAATCTTATAATAATGGGTGTCCAGTAAAGATTGCTAATTTTAAAATATTGTTTTTCTAAAATCATTTATTGTTATTGCTTAACTCTTATCCCTTCCTAAATCCTTAAAATAAAAAATTTAAAGGTTTAACCTGTAATTTTCATAATTGTTGCAGAGAGCAAAAATGATTTAAGCATTGAAAAGACATATTTTATTTTATTTTTTGAGAGAAGGTTTCACTCTTTTACCCAGGCTGAAGTGCAGTGGTACAATCACAGCTCACCACAGCCTCAACCTTCTGGGCTCAAGAGATCCTTCTGCTTCAGCCTCCTGAGTAGCTGGGACTGCAGGTGTGTGCCACCATGGTGGCTAATTTTTTGATCTTTTTTTGTAGAGACAAGTTCTTGCCATGTTGCCCAGGCTGGTCTCAAACTCCTGGCACAAGCAATACTCCCACCTCAGCCTCCCAAAGTGCTGAGATTACAGGTGAGAGCCACCATACTTGACCTAAAAGACATATTTTAATTGAAAATTACTTATATACTTTTAAAAACTCTTGAAAGTAACTGACGTCTTGTATTCAATAGTGATATTTAGTCAGTTTAAAGACACACTTTTCTTAGTCCATTCAGGTTGCTATAACAAAATACCATAAACTGGGTAGTTTATAAACAATAGAAATTTATTTCTCACAGTTCTGGAAGCTGGAAAGTCCAAGATCAAGGTGCCAGCAGAGTTGGCATATGGTAGGGCCTGCTTTCTAGTTCATAGAAACCACCTTTTTTCTGTTTCCTAATGTGGTGGAAGGGGTGAGGGAGCTTTTATAAGGGCACTAATCCCATTCATGAAGGCTCCTCATGATGAAACCACTTCTCAAAGGCTCTATTTCCTATTACCATCACATTGCTGATTAAGTTTCAACATATGAATTTTGGATGACACAAACATTCAGACTATGACAACACTTAAGAAGTTATTTGAGCACATGTGTAAGGTTTACCTTTTATATCTTGGACATGTTGCTATTTGGGCAATCATTTGACTACATGATTAATAGAGGAATTTGGAGAGAATATTGCAAATGAGACTCCAAGGGTAGTTTATTTCGAGTAGGTATTTGAGAAACAATGAACTTAACACTTGAACTGTGTATACCTTTTTCTAGGGAGCTCCAAATTAAATCAGCAAAATTCAGCAGGGAAAAATGAACTGGGTCATCTGTGTCTCAGAGGTACAAAGAAATAGAACAGCCCTCTCATACCTGCCATCTCTGTATGTGACAGTCAAGGGAATTTTTAAAAAATGTATGGTTTTATTTAAAGGGACTTGTTTACAAAATATATTTATGTGACAGTTTGATATGCTTTATTTTTCTACAGGACTCAATTACTGGACTTGTCAACTCTGCCAATTTATGTGTTCATTTCTCTTCCACTATGAGCAGACCGGTTGGATTGCACATTTGTCTGGCTTTCTGTAGCCTTCTACTTCTCCACTTTGCCACACAATGTCTGGCCTTCCCAAAAATGGAAAAGATGGAAATAGCACATGTTCATGCAGAAAAAGGGCAGTCCGAGAAGTTTATCACAGATGACCTTGAAAATAGCTCTATCTCCTCAAAGCAGACTCCCCAACTGGTGATCTCCGAAGATCCAGAGATAGTGTCAGCAGGACCATCAGCAACATCGTTCAATAAAGTTTTCTCAGTGAACAAAGAAGCACGTCCTACAGGAGCTGAGTACATGCAGCCTGTTAGTCACAGTGTTAATACTGCCACTGAACCAGCCATCCCAACTGGTGAAGAGGTGTTTGGTTCCAGTCAGCCAGAAGGAATGTCTCCTGAAAGCAGACTTTTCAAGACCACGTTAACCATTGCTATTACTGCAACTGCTTCTCTGAATATTGGTGAAAAGGAGGAAGCTTTTAGGAGTACTAGTTCTCAGTCCATTTTAGAAGAGACCACAGAAGCAACACAGGGTTTTCTGAAGTATGTGGATGATCAGTTATTTGCAACTGAAAGTCAGGAAGGAGCTAGTTTGGGGCATTCACTTTCATCCTATGTGAACACTAAAGAAATGCTAACCACCAGTCTGAGGACTGAGAAATTTGGAGCAGACATAGACCATAGGACAACTTATCTTCCTAGTGCTGAGCCCACAGCAGGAACTGAGCATGGAAAAATCACACCTGATAGGGAGAAGCCTTCACAGATGACAACTGGCAAAACCCAGGCTAGTGCCATTAAGCAATCACTCGCAACTTCCGAGTACACCCTGCATGTTGAATCAGAAACGGACAGTCTGCTGGGAGTCCCAGAAGTCACAGTGAGTGTCAGCACAGCTGTTCCAGCTGCCTCTGTCTTCAGTGATGAATGGGATGACACCAAATTAGAGAATGTAGGCCAGATAAGGACCGCAAAGTTTGGAGACAATGAAGAGACTCAGGAGAGAATGGAGACGTCTCAGACAGCACAAGTGAGTCATGAGGTTATGGGAGGGGGCCAGCCTTGGACAGAGGCTTCAGAGGTGGCTCTGGGACTGCCTGAAGGGGAAACACACACAAAGACAGCCTTGCTAATGGTCCATGGGCAAGAGAGATCACCTGCCTTCTCTGACCAAAGTTCTTTCACCCCCACAAGCCTGATGGAAGATATCCAAGTTTCTGTTGTGAACCTGCTCCAAACTACGGAAGACTTCTTGGAATCCACCAAGGAAAACGATGCTATGATTTTCTTAGAGACCACTGTTTCTGTCTCAGAATATGAGTCTGAGGCGTATCAACTGTTGGGAAATACAATGAAAGGTAACAGGAAAAAAAACCAAGAAAACAGGCTTTCTTTCAATTTGGTTTTATGTTTTTTTAAAATAGCAATTTAGAGCTAGGTTAAAGTTTTTGTTAGTATTTTATTTATTATTCATTTATTTATTATTATTATTATTATTATTATTTTTTTGAGTTGGAGTCTCACTCTGTCACCCAGACTGGAGTGCAGTGGCCACTCTCGGTCACCACAGCCTCGACCTGCTGGGCTCTGGCGATCCTTCCGCCTCAGCCTTCCGGGTAGCCGGAATTACAGGCATGCGCTACCATGCCTGGCTGATTTTTTGATTTACTGTAGAGATGAGGTTTCACTGCCCAGGAGGGTCTCGAACCCGCGGGCTCAGGCAGTCCACTCACCTCAGTCTCCCAAAGGCGTATTTATTATTATTTTAAAGAGTCGGGTTCTTGCTCTGTCTCTCAGGCTGGAGTGAACGTGTGAAATAATTAGCTATTTGTTTAAACAGTATAATAAACAATGTTGGATACTTACATACACATTGCTGTAAAATATATTCATGTCCCTTATATTTCTTACAAAAAAGCTTTATGTAAATATTATCTCATAGTATTAACTATATGAGTTTTCTGACTTTATTTCTCCCCCCAAAGCATCTAAAAATAAGAGGTAGAAAGATAAATCATCAGCTTGCTTGGTTCTGCATTTTATACTTTCTCTTGGCCTTTACATCTATGGATGTAATAAGCTGGCAGACCTTATTTTTATTGCTGATGGATGTTTTTCTTTTAATGTGTAGCTGATTGGATAACATTGGAAAGCAAATGCTTAATATAATAGGTACATGCTAATTTCAAATTGTTTTGGAATATGTACAATGTGTTACTTCAGTCAAATAACCCAATTAATGGAAAGATCAAATTAGTAATACATTTTATAAGGTTTTATTGAGATTGAATTGAAATGCTAAAAGACCATTTGGTAAATAATAAAAGAAAGATTGAATTTTATATGTCTAATTCCCTTTTTTTTTTTTTTTTTTTTGAGTTGGAGTCTCGCTGTCACCCAGGCTGGAGTGCAGTGGTACGCTCATGGCCACTGCAGCCTTGACCTGCTAGGCTCAGGTGATCTTTCCACCTCAGTCTTCCAAGTAGTTGGATCGAAAGGCACATGCCACCACGCCTGGCTAATTTTTAAATTTATTTTAGAGATGAGGTCTCACCAAGTTGCCCAGGCTGGTCTTGAACCCGTGGGCCTAGGCAGTCCTTTCACCTTCCCAAAGTGTTGGGATTATAAGTGTGAGCCACTGCGCCCAACCTTAATTCACTTTTTAAAAAGTGTTAAAGAGCTAGTATGCTGTTAAGTTTTTATAGAAGAATGTTTTGCAAGTTGGTTTTTACGTAAAGTTGAATCCACATGGCTATGAAGATAGTAAATATGACTGAGCAAGAAGTTTACTTCAATTCTTTGTAGCACTTATACTTCTGAAACACTAAGTCATGTAGCCCCAGATTATTCAAGGCACAACTGAATCCATGATCCTTACATACTAGTCTTGCATTAGCTTCTATTAATACAGCCTAAAAAGTAAAATGGATTTGGTAATTTTCTGATTATTTTGGTTATACAATATATTTCTTAGTCATCATTGCCTCACTAAACTACGGTCTTTTAACAGGCAACTTCTTTTTATTCCCAACACATAGCACAATTCCTGGCACTTAGTAGGTATTCAATAAGTATACATTCAATGTATTAGTAAATGAGGATAACCATTCAGACTGGAACTATCCCACTTGAGTGCCTACCTTGTCCAAATCAAACAGCTTCTAAATGTTCTTTGTGGAGAGAAGAACCATCAAGTAATTCCTTTTGTTCTAATTTTTTTTTTTTTTTGGTTCCATAGAGTTAAAAAGAATGTGAAAGGTTGCAAATATTGACAACAGTAGTTATAGAATAGCTAAAAACAGTTTTACTGTTCAGATGATTATAAGTATTTTTCTGAAGTAAACAACCCAAATGACAATCATTTTAGGACCGAGGGACCATTTAGAACATTATCTTCTTCAGAATATGCAATGATTTCTTGGTGTTTTTGGCTATTATTAACAGATGAGCACCTTGAGATTATAGTCAGCCCTCCAAGTCAGCTATTTCTTTAGCTATTTCAATTGAAGATCAGGTTTGAAAAATGATCTATAATGATTATTATGTTATTTTTCTCCACAGGAAGTAGGAGGAGTGAGAGATATTGGGGAATTTTGGAGGTTATTTAAAAAATTTCCATTACTGTCATGACAGAGATTTTTGACTTTTTTTACATATTTGTTCTCAAAAGTGTTTTTTATGCTTTCACAAATGAGGGCAATGTGAAGAAAGCATACTGCTTAAAATTATAAATTTAGCTGGGCTCGGTAGCTCAGCCTGTAATCCCATGCCTTGGGAGGGTGAGGTTAGTGGATTGCCTGAGCCCGCGGGTTCGAGACCTGCCTGGGCAGCGAGACCTCATCTCTTCAATAAATCAAAGCATCAGCCGGGCATGGTAGCGCATGCCTGTAATTCCGGCTACTCGGAAGGCTGAGGCGGAAGGATCGCCGGAGCCCAGCAGGTCGAGGCTGCGGTGGCTGGGAGTGGCCACGGCACTCCAGTCTGGGTGACAGAATGAGACTCCAACTCAGGGAAAAAAAAAATTATAAATTTATCTATATATTATTGTTTTCTTGTGGCAAACTATTCTATACGGCTTCCATGGAATTATATTAATATCTACCGCCCCTAGTACATATGGAAGGATAAATAAGACATTGCTCTAGGTGCTGGCAATACAAAAGGACAATAAATCATAGCTCTCAAGGGATTTATTATCTTATTAGAGAAAGAAAAGACATAAACGATAGTATAAAGTGCAGATTCGAAGCTCATGTAAGAACCTTACCCTAACTCACATTGTTTGTCCTATAAGCAGATATATCAATCCATCAAATATAAAAATCTCTTCAATTCAAAAGAAAATAAAGAGTCTAAATTGGATGAGTGCCAAGAAAAGGAACTGCTTATGGTAAAAAAAACAAACACATGCACGTTATTTTAAAGCAAATAAATTGTTTTCAAGAAAACATATTTTAAAGTGATAGGATATACTGTGATGTCCCATATACAATGAAAACCCTGAGAAAACTTTTTTAAAGCTATCCCTCGAATGTTATTTTTCATTGTATAACTTACTGGCCTTGCTAACATGCTTTGTATCTAGAACTAGTATTTTAAACAAGAGAGATAATGAGTTCTACTAGAAATTAAGGTTTTAGTAGTTCTCTGTGTAGTATTTGAAACTTCTAGCATAGTACCTTCATAAGAAGAGGGCAGATCTTGGCTTATCAATGACCTTTAATAATGTGTTTGAGACAATTATAATGTTGTATAGAAAGTAGATCTCTGGTAGATACATCATACCCTACAAGTCTATTTCATTTCTTTGTTCTAAAAGCAAATGAAAATCTACGGAGAACACTCCAAGTTGTTCCTTGGCATAGTTAACACCGAGGTTAAGAGCACTGGCTATGAGACCTTGCATTCTCTAAATCCAAGTGGTTCTGTAAAATGAAGCAATAATAGCTGATATTTATTGAATACTTACCAAGTATCAGGTGTACTAAGTGTTTTACATGTGTTATTTAATTTGATCTTTGTAGCAACTCTATGAAATAAATATCATTCCTGTTTTATAGCTAAGAAAACTCAAGGCCCAGAGATGTGAAGTAATTTAAGATCACACAGCTAGTAAATGACTGAGTGAGAATTCAGCCCCAGGCAAACTGGCTCTAGAGACTGCTTTCTTGACCACTATTCTATATGGTTTCCATGGAATTATATTAATATCTACCTCCCCTTAGTACATATGGAAGGATAAGTAAGACAATGTACACCCAGCACTTAATAGACTGTAAACATTAGATATTGTAATTATTATTCTTTATTTTAAAATGCTAGCTTCCCTTGACCCTTCAGGAATGCAAATGTGAAAATTAATATACTCTATACAAATGTTTCTGAGGATTTTTGAGTGTAACTTACTTCTGTATAATTTGTTTCTTAACAAACAGATTATGTTGATATTCAAACATGTGCCTGAAAGGAAACTCAGCTGTTGAGCTTCCTACTTTGTTTTGAATTTTGTTCTAGTTTTTTTTGTTTGAGTTGGAGTCTCACTCTGTTGCCCAGATTGGAGTGCAGTGGCTGCTCCCGGCCACCACAGCCTCAACCTGCTGGGCTCCGGTGATCCTTCCGCTTCAGCCTTCCAAGTAGCCGGAATTACAGGCACGTGCTACCGTGCCCGGCTGATTTTTGTTTGATTTATTGTAGAGAGGAGGTCTCGCCAAGTTGCCCAGGCAGGTCTCGAACCCGCGGGCTCAGGCAATCCACTCACCTCAGCCTCCCAAAGGCGTGGGATTACAGGCTGAGCCCCCAAGCCCGGCTTGTTCTAGTTTTTTTCTGTGAACTTCTTCATCTCTGTCTTAGATTGATTCACAACTCCTGTAAGCAGCAACAATGAAAACATTTATTTACTGGCATTTTATTTTTGTTGCTCCCTTTGCTTTCCTAATTCCCGAAATAGCTATCTGCCTTTTTTTTCCTGATATATTAATTGTATAGTGATTTTTTAAAGTAGAGGGATATGGCCTATTTAAAAATGTTTCCCCCCTTTTAAGACATCATCACTCAAGAGATGACAACAGCTATTCAAGAACCAGAAGCCACTTTATCCTTGGAGACACAGGAACAGGTTTCTACACTTGAGGTTACCAGAGACAGTGGCAAGGTGGAGGAAGACAAGGAGACCTCCTCTCCTGTGTCTGATGTTCCTGGAGGTACTCAGCTGTCAAGAAGATGGGAACCTCTGGCCACTGCAGTTTCAACTACAGCCTTCCCTTTGTCTCCTGAAGTTACTCCTGCTGTGGAAGGTTTGTAAGGAGGGGGTATTGGATTCAGTGTTTTGGGGTGGGGGTGGAGCTCTTCTGTAAGGTGTTGAGGAATAGAATGAGGCTGCTGATTCTACCACCAACGCGCACACACACGCCCCCTGCCTGGAAAGGTAGATGAACGCTCTCTTTTTTTGGAGAGGTATGACCCAGCCTGAAAGAGTTAGTTCCTGAGTAAACTCTCCTGGTAGCTCATCTCTGGGTCTGCAAAGGCCAGACCTTCTGAGAAACATTCTCCTTGTTTGGTAACTCTGCTGCTGGGAGCTGAGGGGATGAGGTGAACAAAGCAAGGATATGGATGTGAATTGCAACTTTGGCCTTCACTAGTATTTTGGCCTCAAGCTAGTTTCTTAACTTCTGTAAGCCTTGATTTTTTTCATCTTCAGGTAACACCCATCTGTCTTATAGGTTATGTTAAGGATTTGAAATAATGACTACCGAGTGCTTTTTCTCTAGGAGGCTCTCTAATACTCTGATTTCTTATGGGCAGTGAAGTTTTCAAGTCTGCATGAAAGTTACTACTGTTTGCAAGCTATGACTGTTCTAGAGTCTTTAGACTTGGGAATACCCAGGCCTATATTTGGCTGCTTTGAAATTAAGCATGTTCTGCAGATCTAGGCTTGATTTTGAAAAAGACACACGGTCTTTCCAAAGTAGTCTTGGGCATATATTTTAGTACATTTTTGTTTCATCTCTTGCCTTTGGCAATACATTATATAAAATTCTGCAACATCCATAATATTGTCAATAGAATAAATGCGAGACTAAAGTTTAAAAATAAAGTTCTGATTTGAGACAGTGAATTTTCCTGAAAGATAAAGGGTTTTCTTTGGGTAGCTGAACTGATGCAACATGGGAAAGGAAAATTGATCTAAATGCCAAACTTACTGTACAATGGGGGACCCCCCCCAAAAAATGGAATTATCTTTTTGGAAGGTGGGTCCCTAGTAGTACACTTGGAATTTGTTCCTCCAGATCAAATGGCCAGCCAAAGATTTTTTTTTTTTTTTTTTTTTTGAGTTGGAGTCTCACTCCGTTGCCCAGACTGGAGTGCAGTAGCACACTCACAGGCACCCTCCTGGGCTCCGGCAATCCTTCTGCCTCAGCCTTCCAAGTAGCCGGAACTACAGGTGCACACTACCATGCTCGGCTAATTTTTGATTTATTGTAGTGATGAGTTCTTGCCAAGTTGTCTGGGCTGGTCTTGAACCCATGGGTTCAGGCAGTCCACTCACCTTGGCCTCCCAAAGTGCTGGGATTACAGGCTGAGCCACCTAGTCCAGCCCAGCCAAAGTTTTTATCTGGAAGTTTTGAGAAGGTTGAGTCACGATTTTTAGAAGAAATGTCCTGAGTTATGGCAAACAGGTGACTGGTTCTTTCACCATAACAATGCACCTGCCCACACTGTGCTGATTATTCAGCAGTTTTTGACCCCAAATGGTATGACCCCGTGCCCCACCTTCCCTATTCACCTGGTCTTATCCAGATGAAAAAAGTCCTCAAGGGGAAACGTTTTGCTGATGTGAAAGAGGTGAAACAAAAAACAGCAGAAGCACTAAAAGGCTCCAAAATTGACGAGTTCAAAACTGTTCTGAGCAGTGGAAAAAATGATTCGATAGGTGTTTATTGCAGCAAATGGAGAGTATTTTGAAGGTGACTGAAGTTTATACATGTAAGAATATATACACAGTTTTTAAAGAATAAATGCTGGGTTTTTTGAGGTCCCCCTTATATGTAAGATATTGGTTTTATTTATTATTTCTTGCCTAACAAGTGAAAGCATGCGTTTTCGTTTCCTATAATAGTGATCTTGTGGCTCAAGTTCTATCTCTTGTGTTTGGCAGAACATGTGGACACAGTCACAGGGTCAGATGAGGAGTTCACCCCAGTTCTGGGATCTCCGGTAACACCGCCTGGAATAATGGTGGAGGCCCCCAGCATTTCCCCAGTGCTTCCTTCTTCTGAGGCATCCTCTGAGACAACAGTCATTCCATCCACTAGCCGTGTTAATACAGTTGCCTCCTATGGCCTGGACCAACTCGAATCTGAAGGTATCCATGCTTTGAAGGTGACCTTTTCTAGGACTGATTAAGTGAATCATTGAGCACATGTTTTTGAGAAAAGATTAAGTAGAAGTATGTTCAATCTGCAGTATAGATCAGTGATTAGTAAAGTATGGCCTGGCTGGCCAAATCTGGCCTGCCACCTGTTTTTGTGAGGCCTGTAGTTAAGAATTTTTTTTTTTTTTTTTTTTGTGTCCGGGTCTCACTCTTTCGCCCAGGCTAGAGTGCAGTTATGGCTCACTGCGACCTTGACCTTCTGGGCTCAAGTGGTTCTCCCACCTCAGACTTCTGAGTAGCTGGGACTACAGGCATGTGCCATCATGCCTGGCTAATGTTTTAAATTTATTTTTTGTAGAGACAGGGGCTTTTTATGTTGCCTAGGCTGGTCTTGAACTCCTGGACTCAAGGATTCTTTTGTCTCAACCTTTCAAAGTGCTGGGATTACAGGCATGAGCCACTATGCCCAGTCAAGAGTAGTTTTCATATTATGAAATGATTGAGAAAAGGTTGAAAGAATAATAATATTTTGTGACATGTAAAAGTTATATAAAATTCAGATTTCAGTGTTTATGAATAAAGCTGTATTAGAGCACAAACATTTACATATTGTCTATGGCTACTTTTGGGCCATAGCAGCATAATTAAGAAGCTGTGACAGAGACTCAATGGCCTCAAAAGCCAAAACATTTACAGTTTGGCCCTTTATGGAACATGTTTACTGACCCTGGTATATGTCAGTGGTTTTCAACTATAGTTGAATATTAGAATTACCTTGGAGGGCTTTGAAGAAATCCCTGTGTCTGAGTCCTTCTCCTAGTGATTCAGATTAAGATGGCATGGGGTAGAATCTGGCATCAGCATTTTAAAAGAATGCTTTAGTTGATTTCAATATTTAGGCTAGATTGAGAATACTAGATTTAAATGGAGAAGTTGCATTTCCTTAGCAGATTTTCTTGGATGGATGTTTTAATGTGGATTGTATTTTAGTAACATTGTCAGTACTGGATTATTCCGCCTTAGTAAGCTCTCTGGTTTAGTATACGCTACTACTTGGAGATAGGCAGTCTCTTTACTTCCTAAGACTGAGACATTCATGCCAAATTGTACGTTTCAAGACACTGGCTTTGAGCATACAAAAGAAACTAGGGACAAATAAGAAAACTAGAAATATGACCCATGGCCACTTAATTAATCAGTATTTTGGCAGATGAGTATTTCCTGGCTGGAGGTGCAAAATGGCGAGATTTATAGTACATAATTTTTTTTTTAACCTAATCTGGAAGACAGGTGAGCTTTGGGGCACTAAATTAGCCATGTGTTTGTTGCAGTAAAAGACATAAGATGTGCTCTTATTTTATATTTTGTCTACAGCAGAGAAGGTGGTTGAGCTGGGTTTGCAGCAGACTCTATTGCAGACTTTCAGGGTAACTCTGGTAGTCTGTTGACAGAGAAACATGGCATTTTAGGAGCAGTGTGGAGAATTTTACAGTAGATGCTGGTTTAAGAGATTGATCAAAGTGGGCTCAGAGGCTAACAGCTCTTTCACTCCACATGAAGATAAATACCGTATGACTTTGAGTTTAGTGTCTCATATTAACTATCTTCTCTCCTTGATGCCATCTGGAGAAAGCAGGTTTCCCTAAATTAACCTGAGTTAGAGATGACAGCTGTACCCAGCAGGGCTCATTAAATCACAGAAAAAAATATGTTTGTGAATAATCCATACTTGTGAAACTGCAATAATTTTCTAAATTTAGTAGATGATGGCAGTTGTATTGAAATTTACTAGAATTTTCTTGACATGCTTAAGATATCCTGGAATGTTAGTTCTTTTCTTGTATGCAGTTTAATTTTAGCTACTTTTTGATCATGTATTTTGTTAGTTTTTGATCTAAATTATGATCTTTGTCAAGGTTTACAAAAGACTTTTTGGTTAAAAGATTTTTTTTTCTGCTACATTGTTGGACTTAAGACAAGATTTTAAGTTAGCATACCTTTTCTCCTAAATATCAAGGGGTACAACATATGCTTAATTAGTATATGTTTATAATGTTACAGTTAGCTGGTGCATCTATTTCTCTGAAAGCTGAGTTGACTACATTTATTTGAGCAGATCAACTTACTAGACCCCTGGATTTATTGGAGGCCTCCATTTTCAATGTGTTTTTCCACCTTGTCCGGGAATGTAAGTGCAGCTTGAAACTTTGACTGGGTGAACCATTTTAATTCTACCATAGGATTATCCAGAGGGAGACAATCTATTCTTATCTACGAGGGCACCCCCCAAAATGGAATTATTTTTTGGAGGATGGGTCCCTTGTACTATAGACTTCCCCTGCTAGGTAAGTGTTTCAGGAACCCATCGGCATCAGTGTACCAGCTAACATTGTTGTGAGAGTCTGTGCTCAGCTTCAGTGAATTTTTTTTTGGGATTCTTTCAATGTTTGCCCATTTCATGATGAGTGATTTACGAGTGCACCTGCCCAGACCACAAAAATTCAGCAGTTTTTGACCCAAAACAGCATGACCTCCGTATCTTATCTTCCCTATTTACCTGATCTCGCCCCAAGTGACTATTTTTTTGTTTTTCCAGATGAAAAAAGTTTTCAAAGGGAAATGTTTTGCCAATGTGGAAGAGGTGAAACAACAACAACAAAAAGGCAGAAGCACTAAAAGGCATCAAAATAGATGAGTTTTTTGGGGGGTCCCCTTCGTAGAACAGTGTATCAGTTATGTCAAGCAATCTACCTTTCACGTTTATATTGCTGTGATGTATTTATGTATTATTTTGATATCTTTCTTCTTGCTAGGGGGCAAAAGCATTTCTTCAGGAAATGAGGTATTTTTCTCAATGGAATATGGAAAAGGGAAGCACCCAAGGAGAGAGACTCTTGGTGAAAATTTCTGACTCTACTGCCCTATTTGTTTTTTAAGTGATAGTTAACAGTCCAAAATCAGTCTAACAATTATATCTACTTGCACTGTCTTCTTCCCTCCTCCTTTAGCATCTCTACAATATGATGACTAAGAAAGTGTATTCGTTTTCTAGACCTGCCATAACTAAGTACCACAAAGTGCGTGGCTTAAAACAACAGAAGTTTATACTTATGCAGTGTGAAGCCTAGAAGTCTGAAATCAAGGTATAGGCAGAGCTGTGCTCCCTCTAAAGCTCTAGGATAGGATCCTCCCTTGCCTCTTGCAGCTTTTTTATTTTTGATGGGGAGTGAGGGACAAGGTTTCACACTGTCCTCCAGACTGGAATACAGTGGCACTATCATAGCTCCCTACAGCTTTGAATTTTTGGGCTTAAGCGATCTGCCTCCCTCAACCTCCCAAAAAGCTGGGACTACAGGTGGTCCCATCAAGCCCAGCTAGTTTTTAAATTTCTGTAGAGATGGGATCTGTCTGTGTTGCCCATGTGTTCTTTGGCTTGAGGCAGCATAACTCCAATTTTTCCCATGGCTCTCTGTGTCTTTGTGCCCACAATTCCCTCCTTATTTTGTAAGGATACCAGTTATTTTGTATAGGTCCCATCCTAATGACCTCGTTTGAAATTGATTAACATATGCTGAGACCCTATTTCCAAATAAGATCACATTCACTGGTACTGCTGGTTAGGACTTGAACGTATCATTTTGAGGGATTCAGTGCAACATATAAAAGGGGGTCTGCTTCTGAGGAATTTGCCTACTATCTCTGAAGATGGATGTGCTACCTGAATGATGTGAATTGGTTAAGTGGCAGAAGTTTTGGGGTGATTTACATTTCTTAGTTACTGAAGAAAACCTGCCTCTGTAAGTGCACATTTCAGTAAGTCTTTTATCTTGTCAGCAAAAATGCAGATTGACTTTTGAAGAAGTAATGGTTTATTTTTTATCTTGTCTAATACATTTTGCTTCTATGTATGGTTTTGTTTTAGGAGAATATATGTTTTCAGAATGATAAAAAAATGCTTTATACTCATCTCAGGCATACAGCTGTATTCAGAATCTTTGAAATACAAACACAAGAATGTTCCAAATTTTTTATTCGAAATAGGATAATGGCAAATTTTATATACATATTTATTTGTTTATTTAAACTGCATAAATCAGTTTTTGGACATGATCTCTATATAGGTTGATTTTCTTCTCTTGTTGAATATTAATGTTTTTCTCTATTCCAAAATGCCAACTTAAAATTTCTGATTACTCTTAAAAACATACTTGGAATTTTTCATTTGGGCTAACTCCTTAAAATATTTTATTTCTAATATTTCTTACCTACTTAAGAAGTTCTGCTTTCCATATATTTGAAATTCATCTAAGGATAACTGTTTATTCTAAATAAATCAAACTTATTTTATTCTTTTTGTTTATCTCCAATAGAAGATGGAAATTCATCCATGTTTAATGTTGTAACAATAATTATGCAGAATGGAAGGTTATTGCTTCAGCAGCCTAATATTCAGAAAAATCTATTGTGGATCTATTTGTGTCAGATACTAGTTTTTTAAGAACACATGGGAGATAGGAGTACTAAAACAGATATTTCTCAGAGCTTATGATTAACTCTTTGACAATCCTCCCTCCTACTCCCAGCACCTCCTTCCTTAATATATGGGGTACCAAAAAATGTATACAAATTTTAAGTATGACATTCGCTCAAAAGATGATGGTAATCAAATAAATGCTGGCATCACCATGTGTAGGTAAGACAGTCAAAGAAAATGATGGAAGCACAGTTGAGCAAAGCACAGTTGCTGCCATAATTTAATTCAACTTTAAAAAGTAATACATAGATAACAATGATTAAAATGTATATATTTTTGGTACTCCCTGTGTTTGGAAGTCATGGCTGGGTGTGGTAGTTCACACTTGTCATCCCAGCAGTCTGAGAGGCTGAGGTGGGAGGATAGCATGAGCCCAGGAGTTTGAGACCAGCCTAGGCAACATAGCAAGGCCTCATCTCTACAAAAAAATTAAAAAATTAGCCGGGCATGTTGGTGC